AAAACTGCAAGTCTTGCCCGGCCTACTTAGTTACTTAGGAAGACACTGTCTCAAAATAAAACATAAAAAGGAGTGAGGCTGTAATTCAGTGGTACAGAGCCCTTGGTTCAATTTTTACTACGTCTAAATAGTCAATTAATTTTAAAATTTTTGAGAATCAAATTATCAAGACAGTAACAAGAAGTACCAAAATCCTGTAATCCTAGCACTGATTAGGCTGAGGTAGGAGGATCACCATGAAGTTGAGGCCAGCCTGGTTTATACAGTGAGGTTAAGGCCAGCCTGCATTACAAAGCAAGATTCTGTCTCAAAAAAGAAAAAGAAAAAGAAAACATACAGAATAAGATTTTAAACCCATATATCTATCTGATAAGTTACCATAATAAAGGATATCTAAAATTCAATAATTAAATGGAAACCCTATTAAAAATGGATAAAGGACTTGAATAGATAGGTTTCACAGAAGATATACAAGTGGCCAAAGTCACATGAAATGATTTTGTTCAACAGTCATTAGGAAGATGCAAGTTAAAAACCATAAGGAGATCAGCTCCCATTGGCTATCATAATCTATAATCAAAAATGGAGACAAGTGTTGGCAGGAATTTAGAAAAATTGGAACCCTCCTACAGTTCTGGTGGGAATATAAATGGCGTAACCACCTCAGAGAACAGTGTGCAGTTCCTCAAGACACCGAACATACTGTTCCCACATAACCCAGTAATTCCATGCATAAATATATACTCAAGAAAACTTAAACATCTGTAGACACACACACACACACACACACACACACACACACACACACACAATTGTAAATAGATGTCCATGAAGCTTATTCATTAACAGCCCCAAGGTAGAAGCAACCCAAATGGCCATCAGCTGAAGAACAGAATATTATTTGTACACAAAAAGTTATGAGATACTGATATATGTTGCAACATGGCTTGACTTGGAAACACTGTGCGCAGCAAAAGAAGACAGATGCAAAGATGATTCCCTTACATGAACCATTCGGAGCGGGCAAAGCTGTGGGGACAAAAGCAGATTCTTGACTGGGCCAGAAGTGAAGGGACAGGAAAAATGGGGAATTACCACTGACAGGCCCGGGATATTTGTGTGGGATGCTGATGAAAACATCCTGGAATTAGTGACAGCATGCAACCTCGTGAATATACAAAACCCCACTGAAGCCAAAAAGAATGAAATATACCTACAATTTTTTAAAAATAGTGATTTTTAACTCACCCTTGACAGCAAAATATATATTTTTTGTTTTTTCAATTTTGGCCAATTCGATAGGAGAAAAACTATTTAATTTTCACTCTTTATTAACAATAAAATGTAATAATCATTTCTATTTCTTCATTGGTGATTTGTCTGTTCCAGGGCTTTGCTCATTGCTATACTGGTTCCTCATCTTTTTCTTATTATTTTATAAAAATTCTTCATCTTATATGATTAACAGCCCTTTGCCACTTTTCCTTGTCTGTTATTTGCCTTTTGGTTTTTTTATGGCACCTAATGTACAAAGACTTCTCATATTTACATAGTCAAAACCATTCAGCTTTCTTTGTGACTTTGTGTGTTGATTTAGTTCTTAGAAATCCCTGCTTCCTACCCTCCATATCCTGCCATTCATAGGGGAAGAGAAATAGTTCAGTTTTATTCTGCTTATGACTGTTTGGTTTCCTTATATTTCACTCATAAGCGGGGAAAAAGCAATCACAGGAGGGGAGACACTAGATGCCCGCTTTCTTGATGGCCGCTCCCAGACCCCAAGGGAGGCAGATGCAGTGGGTACCCGTCTCTGACTGCTACACTGTGAGAGAATGGCCACTTCTAAGTGATCTCTGCCAGGGAAAGGAAGCCATAAATACACAGGGAGCTCCTGAGAGAGCCCACAAACTCAAAGCCCCACTTCTATCATCCTTGAAAAGTACTCTTTGTGCAGTACTAGAGATTGATGGGGCCGGGGAGATGCCTCAGTAGAATAAGCGCTTCCCCGGCAAGTGCAAGGGTCTGAGTTCAATCCCCAGTTCTGCCAAAAACATAAAAAATAGAGATTGAACTGGGATCTTCCTGTGAGCTACTCTCAGGCCTTTTTTACTTTTTCATTTGAGTCAGGGTCTTGCTAAGTTGCCTGGGCAGGACTCAAACTATTACCCTGCTGCCTCGGCCTCCCAGGGTGAGGTGCTCCAGTCCTTAGAAGGCTGGTGAAGAAAGCTGGCCAACTGGCTTTGTCTCAGTAGCCGCCAGACAGCAAGCGGCGGTGTAGCTTTCTGTCGGTAAGCTGAACCCACAGTTATGATGCCCCTGGGTCCAGCCCACCCATGTGGAGCTTGTTACAGGAGCAGCAGTATCACCCCAGGTTACAAACTGCTATGACTACTGCATTTCCTTATGACTTCCTGGAACAAGAGCGGAATGACTAGGCATTCCTTCTCGGAATGTGGTGGGATGGCGCGCAGCACACAAAGATTCCAACTTGGTAGCTTCCCTCTGGGCTGTAACATTTTCCTAAAAGTGGCTCAGGTTGCTGCGCTCCTATCCAGCGCTCCAGGGCTTTGTACGAGTCATCCACCAAGGCGAGCAGGCAGGGGGAGCATACCTGGCTCAACGGAATTCATTTCATCCTGGGATGAAAGGATTTCCTCAGAGTTCCCAGCTCCTTACTCCATCTCAACTTTATTTGCTTTCTTGATAAAAGGAAACTCACTGGTTTGAATATTTGTTTTTCTATCAAGACTTTTTTTACTCCTATAAATACATATTCCCTAATCCATGAATAATTGCAGAGGGGCAGTGAATAGCAGGATCAGAAACATTCTCTTAAAGCTCTGGCTGTCTGGAGATTTCAATGGGAATATTACCTCTCTCCTGGGAATCACTTTAGGGAAAACTGTCTGCCTCAGACAGAAACAATTTAACAATCTGATAAGTATTACTGGATTGGTAACATGTTTTTTACAACTGGCCCGACTGAGATTTTCTTCTTTCTTGCTTTGTTTGTTGTGTGGCGTTATATTGCTGTGTTTCCGAGGCAGGATCCAGGCTGGCCTGGCCTCATATTCTTCCTTGCAGCCCTGCTGAGCTACATTCCCAGCCACCGCCCTCCCACCCACTTTGAGGCGGGGTCTTGCTAAGTCATTCTGTTGCCCAGGCTGGGCTCGATGATGATGATCCTGCCTCAGCCTCCAGGAACGCTGGGGTTACAGGCGTGCACCACTTTGCCTGACTTCTGATTCATATTTCTAGATATGGAAGTAGTACGAGAGCTTGTAAAACTACATTATCCTCATCCTGCTTATCTCTGTTTGGGAGGAAGGCCCTTTACGTTTCAAAACTGATGATAGTAGTCTTTAACTCGTTTGTTTCTGGCATATGCTCAGTTTATTACTCCTCTCTTCCATTCAGTTTCTGTTAAAGTGCTCAGTGTGTCAGTGGGCAGTAAAGTAGGTAAATTTATTTCTTTGAGAATACAGCCTGGTGGTGTTTGGCCTGATTTTGGAGAAGCTATATTCTCTTGGTTGGCATCCAGTGAGCACTCTGAGGGTAAGGACTGAAAAGTCACACAAATTTGGGATTATATCCCACTCATCTAATTTACAATCCATGGAAACAGGTGAATAATTAACAACCTCTCTAGTGGCATAAGCACCTGCCTAGCAAGGTCCTGAGTTCAATCCCTGGTGCCACAAAAGAAAAAAAAAATAATAAAGAACCTCTCTAAACTTGTTTCCTAATCTATAAAAATAAAAATATAGCTCCGAGGATTATGTGAAACAATCCATGCAAAGCAAATTTGAAGTACTTTAAATGGTGTTAATTATTCAGCCCTTGAAAAAAAAAAAAGTGAGAAGGGAAGGTACAGTTAAAATGGAATAAACATACTTCACCGTATTTTCCCCAACTGTCAAACCCAAGAACTGTCAACCAAGGATCTGATAGCCAGCAAATCATCCTCCAGAAGGTCTCTGTGATTCAGCCTCCCAGAATTCTAGGACTGCAGGCACGCAGCACCATGTCCAGCTTGCACATTCTTTTATGACAGATATGGAATATTCATCAAGAAAGAACATCACCCACTGCACTGGTGCATGCATGTAATCCCAGCACTCAGGAGGCTGAGGCAGGAGGACTGACTGCTATGACTTGAGACCAGCCGGGGCCATGTAGTAAGTTTAAGGCCTGAACTACACAGTGAGATCCTGTGTCAAAGACAAAGGAAGGAAAGAAGAAAGGGGGAGAGGAAAAAAGGTAGGGAAGAAGGGAGAGAGGAAAGAGGGAGATAGGCAGGCAGGCAGGAAGGCAAGAAAGAAAGAAGGAAAAATAAAAAGAAAATATCTTGTGCCATACATCAAGCCTTAACAAATGTAAAAGTATTGACATGAAGTAAGTATATTGTGATTTTGACAAAAGTAAATTAGAAATCAGTAACAGAAAGGTAACTGAAAAATCTCAAAAATGTTTGGCAATTAAATATGTCTTATGGTCAAAGAAGGAGTTTTGAGAAAAAGTAGAAAATGTTTTCAAATTCATGAAATGAATGTACAACATATCAAAACACGTGGGGTGCACAGAGCTCAGAAGGAAACTTACAGCATGAGATGCTTAATGAAGGGGAAAGGGGACCAGCCAAATAGCTCAGAGGATTAAAGCGCCTGCAAGCAGGCCCAAGGGCTGAGGGTTTAATGCTGAGGACTGTGGTGCCGACCCTGCCCCAGGGTCATGCTGAAATGGCAAATGAGACCCACACCAGCAATCCCAGCTCTTGGGAGGCTGTAAACAGGTGGATCACTATGAGTCCAGTCTAGTAGTGAGAACCTGAACACCCTGTAGACCCTTCCCTAAAATAAAAAGGGTGAGGGGGGAAGGATTCAAGTCAATATTCCACGCTCTGCTCTGAGAGACTGCCTCAGAAAAAGAGGAGCAGAGTGAATTCATATCAAGCAGAAGAAAGGAAATAATGAAGAGCAAAATTAATGAAATTGAACAGGGACATAAAGCAGTGAAAACATCAATGAAACAAAAGCTGGTATTTTCAAAAGATCAATAAGTAATTAATCTCTAGTTGAACTGGCAAAAAAAAAAAAAAGATAAAACAGAAATTACTAATAAGAAAAGGATATCATTTCAGACCCATCAGCCATTCAAATAAAAATAAGGGAGTAACATGAACAATTCTGCACAGAGAAATTCAACTTGAGGTGAAATGGACCAATTCCTCAATACTACCAAACTATTAAAATTCACCTAAAAAAAATTATCCCAGATTAAATAATTAAAATCTTCATACACTTACACACAAAATACAAGTGAAATTTGTTACACTAACAAATTTCTATCCAACATTTGAAGGAGAAATAATATCAGTTCAACACAATCTCTTCCGAAGGAAGGATTAAGAAGAAACGATGAGTTTGCCTGACTGAATTAAACTTTTAAGTAGAAGGTGAGCCCAATTTGCTTGTGGATTTACAAGATCAAGCTTGACAAAGGTTGGTAAGTAAAATTTTCTGTGCAAATAGAAAAGTTGAGCCAGCTCATTGTATGCACAGGTGGGTTTTCGTACAACCAAAATAGAAAAGACTGCTTACTTTTATCTCCATTGCCATCTTCATGTTTAATTCCACTCTTCGTTCTGTTTTCATCTTCTGAGTTTTCTACTTCTTCAATAACCATCCTTTTCCCTTTGTTTTGGGGCTTAGATGTGGGTTCACAATTCTTCATATTTCTTTCAACCTCTGACAAGATTTTCTGCAGTATAATCATACAAATGAAAATGTTTTTCTTTAAGAAAAAAAATGCCTCCAGGTAAGAATATATAAAGATATTAAAATATAAAGATAAGGGCTGATGAGATAGCTCGGCAGTCTAAAGAGCCTGCTTAGGCAAGCTTAGGCAAGCATGCATGGACTGCAGTTTGATCCTGGTACCACATGCCTTGCCAGCCCTGCCCCCAGGTGGGCTGAGCCAGCCACACACGAACACAAAAGTAAAAATTAGACTTTATGGAGGTGTATTTTTTCAAAACACCTTCATTGCTTTATTTGATCATAATTATATACACCCACTATATAAAAAACAACTTTAGAGTAACAAATATATTTTAGGTTTTATATTATGTTATGTATAAGGCCCACTTTTTAAGTTAATTTTTACAAGTGATTAAGATAAAAATGCATTTGGATAGGGCCCAAAAGTTAATATGTAAATGTGAAATTATATAAGGTAATAAAATTAAAAGTGGCTTTTCTTGTTTCAAATTTTTGTTAGTAATGTTCCATTAACACTTAATAACTATAACCATGTATAAAATAACCACAAACAGGACGCAGTAGACAAAGTAGGCAATCCAATAGGCGTCATGTGTAGAAATGTAGGGACAGCTTGTGGGAGGGATGCTCCCAGCTCTTTCTCCCATTTTGGACCATTCTGCAAGCAAAGGCACTAATCTGCGTTTGTTGTAGACAGTCTTTAAGGATGTCTCAAGAAGAGAACAATATTCCCTTAGAATATAGAAATGGCCTTGCCCTGGAGAGGACAAAGCAAGTTTGTTTGCTCTCCAGGTTAAGAGAGGCTATTTCCCTCTGGGCAGAGACTGGCCAGCTCATTTACGACCCATCATAAATGATGGGCGTTTCCTAAATTTGAGATTCCTCCTCCATCACACAAGGCCCCTGAGTGTGCAGCATCCATGTGGGCCACTCTGTGCCACGCCTGGGAGGAGCAATGACAAGAATGCGAAGCTCCTCTGTTCCGTGTGTCAGGAGTAGAAAGTCCTTTCTGTCTGACTCAAGGCATCTTGGATCCTCTGCTAACTCACCTTGTCAGTTTGCAAGTGGAGTAAAATCTCAGATCCTTCTCGGCCCCTGACACTTCCCTCTGCTTTTCAGTCTTGAAACAGAGCCCTGTGACTGCACCCGAGTTAGCCCACTCCTGCAAGTAGTGCAGGCTATCCATGATGCTGTTACCATGCCAACAACAGAAAGACTCTTCTATGCCATGCAGCTAATAGCACACCCCGCATCCTGCCTAGGAAACTTCTACTCTGCATAGTAAACCGAGATCAGCGCAGGGAACAGCCTTGCCCAGAACACTGGAGGAAAGAGAAAAATTAAATATTGGACACACATGGATAAGTCAGTGCTTTTGCACAATTTTTTTAAAGAATTACTTTTTTTCACTTCAAATCTATGTTAAATTTTCAGGTGCACGGGATATACTACTTTTTAAACCTGTGACCCAACTTTTGATGTAATTCATTCAGCAAGGCTGATGCAACTTTAATACATAAATTCAGAAACAGTAAATTACAGAATTAGGTGTGAAATCACTTTCTATACTTACCTTGGCCAAATCATTACCAGGTTCAACCTCCAGTACATTTCTCAAATCTTCCATGGCCTCCTCAAGCTTGTTTTGATGTTTATAAGTAGTGGCCCGGCGCAGAAGGGCTAAAATATTACCAAAAGGAAAGTAGTAAGTTTTAATATATGGCATTATGGTTATGACATGTTTTACAAGTGTAAAAATATAAGTAGTGTGGAACCCTGTAGGACGTAAGTGTACAAAGCTTAAGTACGCCTACTTCCACATCGTTGAATAGAAAGGAACCGGTCTTGTGGTAAGCAGAACAGGCTGCAGCAGGCAACATTGTCCTCTAAAAACCCAGGGCCTCTAATAGCATCTGGCCCGCCTAACCCTAACCCTAATCCTAACCCTAACCCTGGCTACCTCCCCTAAGGCGGAGAGCCTCCCCTGCCCCTCTCCCCTTCACAGGCCCCATGCTGTGCTGCATCATTGGGAAGTTTTTGCTAAAACAGCAGCATGTTCCTTACTATCTGCACTACTGTTTTCAGCACTTTCCGAAAACTTAGAAAGTCCCCCGTTGAAATGTGGTGCATTACTGAGCAGCCTCTAGCTCAGAATATGGCACAATTGTAAAATCCAGTCAAGCCATTTCTAAAATGACAGGGAGTTTCTTAGCATGGGGGACTGAGAATCCTGATGCCCAAGTCGGCTAAGTTCTGAAATGGAGCACACTGGTAATTTGCAACAGATTTTTGGGAAGGTTTTGATATGTAATTTTTTGATGATTTAACAATGATAACAAATGCCTTGTAGTCCCATCATTGATCATTATATAATGATAGAACTTTGTCCAATAAGTCAATTTGTCAATTTTAAGAATCAGTTTCGGGCTGGCCAAATAGCTCAGCAGATTAAAGCACTAGCAAGCAGGCGCAGTGGCCAAGAGTTCCATCCCCAGGCCTGCCATGCTGGCCCTGCCCCCAGGGCACACTGAGATGGCAATTGAGACTGGGTGTGGTGGTGCACACCTGTAATCCCAGCACTTGGGAGGCTGTAAACAGGCGGATCACTATGAGTCTGATCTAGTAGTGAGACCCTGAACACCCTGTAGACCCTTCCCTAAAATATATATATAAAAAAAAAAAAAGAAAAGATTTAGGCTCAATAATTCTGAGAAGAAATTTATACCTGACATGTTTTAATATGGTATTATAAAACATTTAAAAATTTAACCTTTGTGATTTTAGTCTTAGAATGAGCCATCAAAATGAAGGGTAAATCATTTTGTCATAATTTCATTAATGTAGTAGCATCACGCTTTGAGTATACTTGAGCTATTGCCATTGTTACTCAGATTTCCAAAGGGAACTTCCATGAAGAAATATTCATGATATAACAGTTATCATTTTGGGGGGCATTTTTTAAATTTTGAAATAACTTGATAGTTACGGAAATTTCCAAAGTTAGCACAGAGTTCCTGTATACATTCAATCAGCTTCCCCGCATAATAACACCTTACTCAGTCCTTTTGGATTATTAGCCATCTCAGTACAAATAATCAGGGATTTAAATTACAAGTGAAATTTGAAATTAAAATGTATGGCCAGGTGTGGTGTCCCATGCCTGTATTCCCAGCACTCAGGAGGCTGAGGCAAGAGAATCTCTATATGTCTGAGGCCAGCCTGGGCAATCAAGTGAGTTCAAGGCCAGCGTTAATTAAGCCTGAATTATACAGTGAGACCCTGTCTAAAAAACAAACCAAACAAAAAAGTAAATACATGAAGGTGCCAATTCACATGTAGAAATCTGACTTTATCTCCAATATGTTTAATGCAAATATATTATCTACAAATAGTCTTTAAGGGACTCTGCCATCAACACAAAAGCATTCAATGACTATTTTACCTTTTATGTTTCCAGGTTCTAACTCTAAGACCTTTTCACAGTCCTGAAAAGCACTATTCCAGTTCTGCAATTTGATTGCTGCTTGAGCTCGATTGTTATAAGCGGCTATAGTAGGATGCGCAGATATACTCCTAAGAGAGAAACATTTATTGGCAACAGGCAGACCTAACGTAAACATAAGGACACAGAGAAACTTAGTCAAAGTTGAAAACAAATAATCACATCCTGTCGACTGGTGTAAAATAATTAATGAAAAGAACTTAATATCTACCTGACTATGGTTTAAAAAGAAATGCTATGAAAAAATGAATACCCATATGTAGGAAAGATAGAGCACTGGCATGTCGAAATGACCAAATCTAGAGACAAATAGATGGTACAAATGGAAAAGTCATCAACATGGTCATTAAAGATCATTAGAGATGATTTAATTATTTAATTCTAAGGAGGCATTAGTGATTCTATAAACACAGTTTGTAAAACAATATTTGAAGAATTTCATCTAAAATTTCTTACAGTCTTCACAGACTGTAAGAACTTTTGAAGTTTGTACAAGTATTGGTTGAGCATCTGCCACGGACCATGTACTCTGCTGGGAATTGAGACCAGAGTGGTGGAAAGGAGAGCAGACACTGCTGCAGGAGCCTCTGAACTGATGGGGCGGCAGTAATGGGGACAGACTGAGATTTAACCCAGTTAGCCACATTTCCTAGGAAGTCAACGAATATCTTGCCTGGTGTGGCAGTACATGTCTGTAATCCCAGAACTTGCAAGGCTGAGATAGGAAGAGGGCCATGAACTTGAGCCCAGGCTGGGCTGCAAAGTGAGTTCAAGGCCAACCTGAACTACACGGAGACTCTGTCTTTGAAACAAAAAAAAAAAGTTTTTGGAAGAAGTAAGGCATAGGCTCAATTCTAACAGGTAAATTAGGAGGAGCTGGGGGGTATGGATCAGTGGTAAAGCACTTGCCCAACATGCACAAGCCCTGAGTTTAATCTAAAAGGAAGAAAGAAAGGGAAGAAAAGGAGGCAAGGAGGGAGGGACGGAGTGGAGAGGGAGGATTAGATCTCTCTCTCTCTCTCTCTCTCTCTCTCTCTCTCTCTCTCTCTCTCTCTCTTTCTTTCGAGAGGGTCTTGGCACTGGACTTGATCTCGTGATCCTCCTGCCTCAGCTTCCCGAGTGCAGAGATCACAGGTATGCGCCACCACACCTGGCAAGAACAGCATCTCAGACAGAGACTCAGGACGTACGCAGGCCCTGTGGGGGATTAGGTCCAGGCAGTGTGCCGCAGAAACCAAGCTTATAATTTTTATGCTGTGTAGATTTTCTGTCAAGTTCCTTTCTGTTCTTTGTAAAATAGGAAAATTAGGTCCTCTGTCTAGGTGGGAGTAGGGTGAAAGCTTAAGAGATCTGAGAAAATACTGAAAGGACAAACAAAAGTGAATTTATAAAAATCACAAGAATAGAACCATCAATGATTAGTATTCTCTGGCATTGGTGTCATCCATTTGCCA